TTTTTAATGTCTTGTAAAATTAACTAAAAATGTGCAGTTCCTGTAAGTACTCTTGCCTGCTAGCCTGTTTGCTAGGAGAGACACTGGGGGCAATCACAAGAACAGTGCAGAAAACTTCTTTTAATTCAACTTCATACTGTTTAATAATGTAAATATTCTTTACTTTAAAAAAATTATAATCAACTCTATCTCCTAAAATTCTCAGAACAGAACCTTGGTTGACCACAAATCTTCTGCACACCTACAAGTAATGCTGTGCCCCCAGTAATATTTGGGGAACTCTCAAAACTATTTATAACTCACTGAGCCTAAGGAGTGCTTGCAGCAGAGAGCTACCAGGCCCAGGAATGACACAGAGGTTTAATTTCCCACAAAACAGCCTTCAGAAAAGACTGTGAACTCCCATTTTCAAAAAGATGATAAATGTTTTCAGGGACACGCATGAAAAAGTAGATTATCATTTCCTTTCTCTACTAACCAGCACAGCTCATGTGCTTTAGAAAATGCATTGTTCAGTTGTCTGACTCACGGGTTAGAGAAAAGATGTTAGGTGGAAATACATGAGTTCTGTTATAACTCCTGGCTTTATTAGCCTGCAATGCTAGTAAAGCAATCATCATGTAAATGATTTTCCTCATTTTATCTTTGCACAGAGCAGATGTATCATTAAAGAACATCTACAAGTCACTAGAGATTGTTACACAGAAATCAGAATTGAAATGAAGAGTTAGAATTCCTTCATAAACAGAAAATAAAAATTAGACCATGTTTTTTTGAAAATACAGATACAGAATTTCTGTTCCTTACATGTGTTTATCTGCTGCACTTTTGTATTATTTATTGCTATACCAAATCTATTTTAACAGTTCTTGAGTTTCAACTAGGTAAGCTTTTCTGCTTGTGATATGCATAAGCTATGCTGTAATCTCTAGACTCTGTGAATTAATGCCTTTCCCTAGGTATATTTTTTTTCCTTTTTTTTTTTTCCCTTCAGACAGGCATGTATAAGATAAAGTAGTTAATGTTTTACCCAAGGAACTTACCTACAGACCCCTTAGGACATGGCACAGCAGCTGGCTGACCAAACTTGGTCTGTGGCCACCAAATACCAGCCTCGAAAGCTTTGGGACAGCCATTATAAATTACTGAAAGCAGAAAAAGAAATAATGATGCAATTTTTCCTGACAAGATAAAAAAATCACACAAGGAGGTGTTTCAACATGCCTAAAGGACCTTCCTGTAATTCCCAAGCCCTGTCAGGATACCTGTCCTCTGCAATGCTTTCCAAGCTGTACCCCATCAGCTGCTCCTTATCCAACAGTGTGGGCAGACAGGTACAGCCAGAGGAGAGCTCAGGATGATTACGGGGCTCTGGATTTTGGCTCTGCCTATCTCCACCTGCTCCTTTATTGTGGGAAAATGTTTCTCCTTCACTTCACCCACACGCTGTGGTGAGATGGCTGCTGCAGCAGCTTTGTGCTGATCACAGGAGGAGGGTGGGTAGGTGAGAGGAGAGGCAGGATGGGCAAGATGGGGAAGGAAGGCAGAGGGCAGGAGGTGCACGGCCCAGCTTCTGTGGGCAGAAGGGGCAAGGGCTCCTGCCTTCCTCTTCAGCTGCAGCACAGCAATACAGCGACACACCGGCAGATAAACCCAGGTAAAACTGAGAGTAGTGTTTTCTCTCCCCCCCAAAACCTGCTGTATTGCCATTTGATAGAAACTGAAGAAATAGCAACTTTCCTCTTCTTCCTCAGCCCCGTAAGTCATGCTGGCACAGGCTCAGGTG